GGAGGACAGAGGAGAGAGGAGGAGAGCCCCTCACCTGTTGAGGCCTCGAGCCATGAAGGAGTGAAGGTCGATGGAGCTGGAGAGAGATGGAAAGAGGGCAAGCACAGACCAAGAGCGGGAGAGAGGTGGGCAGGCGAGGCGTGAATGAATAGAGGGAGGGGAGGGCGGTGGGATGGGGAAGGAGACACAGGCAGGGGAATCAGCAGGTCGAGCGGCACAGCAGCAGCAGCAGCAGCAGCAGCCGGGGACTCAGGCACCGGGCCAGCCCAAGGGCTGCCCTGCTGTGGAGCAGGCTCTGCTCCCAGGGCTACCTCTCTAAGTGCTGGCCCAGGGAAGGCTCAGGAGGCTCTGGTGGCGGGCAGGGCGGTGCTTATTTACCAAGTAGGGCCAGAGGTGTCTGACTGCCATGCCCACCTGACTGAACCAACACGTGCCTGCTGAACTAGAGCCTCAGATAGTGGGGGCCCCTCCAGCTGGAAGCCTCAGCCCCTCTGCTGGGGCTCCGATTGCCTTGCTCCGTGACTCTACAGGGCTCCCCACCTGCCACCGACTGTACTGCCTCCTTCCCATTCTTCTCTGAACAACCTCCTTCTAGCCCAAGAAAGAGAAGCGGGGGGTGGGTGGGCAGGGGGCCCAAGATGGATCTCTGGGACAGGCAGGCAGGCAGGAGCTCCCAGGCGCTCACCTGTTGAGGTCCCGCATCATGTAGCCCTGCATCTCGGCTGATGGACCCCGCAGCACCATAGGCTGAGGCCGGGCCCGCTCGCTCTGGCGGCTCGGCTGCCGTTGGATGTTAGGGTTCCTCAGAGCCGTGCTGATGTCGTTGAGGAGCCGGGGCAGGGGGCCCAGCTTCAAGAGGGCTTCCTGGAAGGGGGAGGGTGTTACCTGAGGCCCCAGGAGCCTCTGCAGACATTTGGGGACGGGGCAGAGGGGCATTGGCTGACCTTGCTGAGCTGGGGCAGCACCTCCCAGAGCAGGGCATGCAGCGTGGAGAGCTCTCGGCCCAAGTCGATGTAGCCCTCAAAGCTGCTGCTGTTGGTCAGTGTGTCCAGGTTAGAGATCTCGTACAAGAACTGCTGCATGGAGCCCCACTCCAGCTCCAGAAACTCGTTCATGAACGCCAGGGAGTCCTCCTTGGACGTGAACCTCCAAGACAAAGGCAGAGACCCGTCACACACGGGGGAAATGCGCACACCCACCTCCAGGTCCCTGAAGGCCCGCAGACGGACCCTACCCCCACCCCAGCCCCGGCCGGAGGCCTCCCTCACTTGGAAAAGTTGGCCAGGTTCTGGATGACCTTGGCGATGAGTGTGAGGGTCCGCGAGGTCTGCTCGTCTGGGTACTCCTGCATGAGCCCAAAGAGACTGGGCGACATGACGGCTGGGCAGAGGAAGCGCAGGAAGAGCGAGGCGCTGATCAGCCGGTCAGCGATGTCCTCCCGGCCTCGCTCTGCGCAGCGCAGTCGCCAAGACGCAAACACCTCTTTCAGCTCCCTCGGGAAGACGCTGAGGGAAAGGGATGGGAGACAGAGAGAGAGAGAGAGAAAAGAGAGACCGGGACTGAGCCCCAGAGACCCTCAGCTTCCAGGGAACACGCTGAGGGGGTGGTAGGAAGTGCGGGTGTGGAAACAGGTGAGAGAGACCTGGAGGGAGGGCCGTGGCCAAGGGGACAGACAGAGCAGGGAGAGAGAAACAGAGGGGGCAGAAAGAGGGAGGGAGAGAGACACGTGGGGGAGCGACAGAGGGCGTGTGCGAGAGAGACAAGGAGAGGAGGAGAAGAAAGACAGACGCCAGGGAGAGACAGAGATGGGAGAGAGATGGAGGGTCACTTGAGGTACGGGGAGCTCGGACCCCCCAACTCTTCTGGATTCCAGGAAAATGGGGATGGAAGGTAACCCAGGCATGATCCCCAGTCCCGAGAGCGGCTCACAGCTCACTCCCCCGCCTTCCCGTCCCACTGACACCTTAAACTTGACTTGTGTAAAATGGAGCTCACCACCGCCCCCACACCTCCAGCTGGCTCCTCCTCCTCCTCCCCGACTCCCCTGGTCCCGTCAATGAGGCTACCCATCTCCCAACTACCAACCCCATGGCCTCTTGAGTCATCTCCTTCCCACAGGCAAACCCCCTCCTTTCCAAGCAGCTGAAACGCGTGCGCCTGCTCTCTGCCCCACAGGATCTTCACAGCAGCCCTCTGTACATGCCGTGTGTCTGTCCCCACCACTGTCCTGACTCAGGATCTGAGCTCCACCTGCACCCATTAACAACAGCCCCGAGTTGGCCTGGACTTCATGCTTATTCCTCTAGTCCCTCTCTGAGCCTGTTGCTTATGGACTAATCTCCTCCTCCATAATGGCTCCTGGACTGGTGCCTTCAGCGGATCCCATGACCAACTGATAAAGCTCCGACCCTTCAACCCTGCAGATTCTAACTCTACTCCACCTGTCTACACATCTCTCCGGCCACGTACTCCATTCAACCTGTCCTCACCGCTGTTCCCCAGAGCCCCTGGGCCATCCCAACTGCCCACATGCACCTTCTGAAATGCCTTCCTGGCCTACCATGTCCATGCTTCAGAACCTGTCTTCAAAGCCCAGCCCAGGGGAGACCGCGTCCAAAGTCTTCCTGGCCTAAACTGATCCAAGCGCTGCCTCCTCTGACCTGCTGCTGCACCCAAGAACCCCAACCCGGCGCTGAACGCTTGACTACAGCTGCCCTGCCGCTACCTGTGCCATGGAGACGAGGGCTCGACGCCCTCCAGCCTTTCCTGCTCATGACACCCAGCACAGCCCTTCATCCCAAACCCAGTCTTCCTCGGAATGGACAGATGGATGAACAGATGAACACACGACCCGCCCCCGCCCCCGCCCCCTAGCCCAGCGTTCCCAGTCTCACCAATGGGAGTTGACCACCTTGCACAGGGCCAACTCACAGCACATTCGCAGGTTGGCCTGGTGCTCTGCCAGACTGGACGCCGTGCACTTGATGGGGTCCACCTCACAGTTCTCCTCAGACTCATACAGAGCACGGATGAACTCCCCTGGGGGGGGGGGGCGGCACAACAGAGGGGGCGCGTGGTTTTCAAGGGCAGGGGCAGGGGGGCTGCCTGGTGTGTGGGCACTGTGGACTCGAGTCCCGGGGCCTGGGTGGGTTTTCAGAGGAGGAGGAGCTGAACGTGAGGTCGTACCAATAGCATCCTTGAGGTATTTCTGACCAATCAGGCGCATGTACTCTTCTATGGCTTTAGTGGCGAGCGTGTTCTCTCGGAAGATGAGGTGCTCCCGCTCCATGAACCGGTCCACTTCAGACATGGCCATGTCTGAAAGGAAATCCTGCGGCCCAGGGGCATTCCAGGGTTGGCCTCTGCACAGCCCAAGCTCAGGAAGACAGTGCCCTGTCCCCGCTGCCCCTCCAGCAAGGGTGCGCTCCTCCCGAGGACCCTGCACTCACCTTGGCCTTGCCTGTGCTCTGCAGGATGTGAACCAGGGCGCTGGCAACCTCCTCCTTGCCCTTGACATTCAGGGCGGGCTCCAGCACAGCACACAGCATCCGATAATGGTTGGTGACATATTCCGCAAACTCTTTATATAGCTCCATGGGCAGGATGCTCATTGTTTGGTAACGTGCTTTAAGTCTCACCGCTGGGCACCCTCCTTTGCCCTTGCCCCCTGAGCCTCCCCCAGAGCCGCCTCCCCCTCCTGCCCCCACGCCCCCGGACCCCCCACTGCCAGTTGGCAGGGTTACAGGGTACCATTGCTCTGTGAAGTGGCGCCCAGCCAGCGTGGCCACAGGCACAGTCACCAGGCCAACGTAGCCCGCCTTGTCCTTCTTGCGCTTCTTGTCCGAGTCACGGTACAGATGCAGCCGGAGGGCCCGGACGGCTGGCAGGTTGTTGAACTCAAAGTGCTCACCCCAGAAGACCGTGTCCCCTGAGGCTGCGCGGGGCTTGGAGGTGGTGCGCGCATACAGCATGTCATCGAGGCACAGCTCACAGTAGTACCGCTTCTTGGGAGGCAGCTCCCGGGCCTCTATGATCCACAGCTTGAGCACGTTGTCTACCCGGCGGCTGTTGTCCTGGCAGGGGGCGGGGAGGTGGCCAGGGTGGATAGGAAAGACAGAGAGAGGGAGAGAGAGCCCAAAAGCAGAGGGACAGTGAGCCGTAAGAACGTGGAACAGAAGACATACACAGTGAGAAGAGGAGCTCACGTAATACACCACAGAATCCGTAGTGGAAAGGAGCTTAAGAGGTAGAATGAGAAACCGATCAGAAATTGTGAAAATGAAGAAGAAACAAAATTTCACGTACTGGGTAAGGCCTGGCAGTCGGCATGAAAAGGCCCAGGGGAAACAATTGGCCACAGGCTCACGGTGAGGGTCAGGGGCTGCTGCAGTGAGTTAAAAAGAGCAGGTGGGGGCGCACTATTTGGGTTGGATGGCATCTGGCACTAGTTCTTGAAGGAGGACGCTGAGAAATGAAAGTGCCCCCAGAGGAAGGTGCCTGGGACACAGAGCTTACAGGAAACTTCAGAGAGCCTCGCTGGCCAGGTTGGGCGCATTTCTCTTGGGAACTAAAGAGTCCTGAGAAGGACACAGACATGTGGAATCTCTGAGCCAAAAGGGGCCTTAGCGAGATCATCACGTCCAACCCACTCCCACCAGTGTCACAAGGGGCAGCCGAGGCCCAGGGACCTAGTTCGCTGACAGTGCCTGTATCCACTAAGAGCTCTCACCCAGAAGCTGGCTGGCCACCTGTTGGGGTGTTAGGGAGGCCTTCTTGCCCAGAGGGAAGCTAGACCAGGGGACTTCCAGAATCCTCTCAGCTTAAGTATGATCTCTATGGTACCAAAACCGGACCAAAAGATAGCAATGGGAAGACAAAGTAAGAAGAAGTAAGGGCTCAGAGAAAAACAGGGGGCATCCCCTGCCCCTCCGAGTCTTCCCCACCTCTGCCCCACTCCTGGGGCTCACCCTCCTCTCTAGGGCCCTGGCCTCCCTGGTGGGTGGCTCCCTGTTTCCCCAGGTCACACCGCCTTGGCCCCTTCACACCTCAGTACCTTGTTGGGCTTGACTGCCCGCTGCAAGTTCTCGATCCACTTGTCCCTTTCGGCTGCAGACCGACAGGCAAAGCATTTTGTTCCTGAGGATGTGGTTACCTGGAAGAGGACACGGGGCTGAGTTGAGGGACGAGGCTCCAGAGGGGAGTTGACTCCTAAGAACTAGAGGCTCCACCACCATCACCTCCTCCCGGATCCAGTTTCTCCTTCCTCCTAGCCCCTGGAGTCTCTGCTTCCTTGACATCCCGACCTGTGGCACTTGCTCCAGGCTTCTCTGCCTCCACCTACCCCCGCCTTTTGGCCCTCCCCAGTCTACAGGGCCCAGTACCTCAAAACAGAACTCCTGGCCCAGGATGGAGCTGTGCACAGGCTTAATAATGGAATCTTCATCCAAGTTGAGCTCCAAGGCTTCCGCTGCACTGCTAGGACTCAGCAAGGACTCATGGGAGTGTGACTCCTTAAAGCTCTGCATCAGCCGGGCCCTGGCAGGGAGAAGGTTCCAGAACAATGGTCAGGCTCCACCGCCCCCCACCCCCCACCCCCAACCCCCTCTCATCGTTTACACACACAGGGGCCCTGCATCAGCACTCTCTGGGATAGAGGTGTGGAGAAAGGGTTTCCTGAGGCCCCTTCTCATACAGATATTGACAGCAATGCCACTTCTCCCTGGGGCAGGGAGGATCGCAGCCCCTTGTTAAAGAGCCCTCCTCAGTGCAGTGCTAAGGACTGGGGGTGCCTAGAGGGTCGGTGGCAGCAAGTGGACAGAAAGAAGTGAGCCTGGGGGACTCCATGGAGACTATCAACAGAAAGGGGAAACGGAACGCCGAACCCACTGCCATCCACTAGGCTCTGACTGCCAGGGACTCTGCAGGGCAGCGGAGCACTGCCCTGGACGTGTCTGAGACTGTCAGCCTTAGCGGAGGAGCCAGCCTGGCTTTCTCCCTCCGGCTCGCTCTGCTGACCTTGTGGTCACTGCAGTCCCACGTGGAACCCGTGGAACCCGCTGCAGCTCCAGGCTCCATAAGAGAAAAGAAATGGCAGTAAAAACCAGAAGTGCAGCAGAGATCGGAAGTTGGTCCAGCCTGGGTCTGGCATGCAGCTAGTCCCACCGAGCGACAGTGAATGATGAGAGGGGTAAGTGGATGAGTGGATGCAATAGGAGGACACCCACTTCGGTGAAGGCAGGGAGGGTGAGCCCCGAAGAAACGGGCAAGCTGTGGGCAGGGGAAGAAGAAGGAAGACAGACTGAGGAAGGGGCTGCGGAGCAAGGCGACGGACGGACAAGCAGCAGCAGCAACGTGGAAGACAGCTACTCGCACGCAGGGAGGAGGAGGCTGGGAGAAGACGGGAGAAGACCAGAGGGCTGCTAGAGCGTGAGCGAGAAAGGGGGATGAGACATGAAAAGCCACTGCAGGGGAGCGAGCCCCAGACCCAGGGGCACAGTGGCTGGTAGCCTGCGGAAGGAATCGGGGGATGGTAGGGGCCTAAGAGTAGAGAGCAGTAGAAAGCGGGAGGGGAGCTGGGTGTGGGAGCCTCCCTGAAGCTATTTATAGCAGCCCCGTCATCGCTCGGCTGCCGTCAGCGCGACGCTCCCCCGGCCCCCCCCCCACCCCCGCGGCCAGGAATACCATGCCCTTACCCACCACCCCCCTCCGCACAGGCCCCAAATACAGCTCTGGCGACATGGGGGGGGGGCCAAAAGAAGGTGTGACTCACCTTACCCCAACCTCCCTACCTGCCCAATCCTGGGGGCGGCCAGACATAGGGGAAAGGGAAGATGGGGTTCTCCCTGGGGAGTGATTTGGTAGAGGGAAACCCTGAGGGACCCCCAAGAAGCAGCTAACACTGGCAATTGTCAGGTCTCCTTCAGTCCCAGCTGCAGGAACGGAACCCACTGGCTACTTCCCAAGTCTCAATCCCGGTTGACCCCACACCCTCCTGCTCCCGCATTCTGTCCACCTGAGGCCCCTGCCCTCCTCCACCCCACCTCTGTTGCCTTTTATACAGTCCCTTCTCTAGCCTGAGCCTCCATCCTTTAGTACCCAGCCAAAGCCCAACCTGCTCCCCTGGACCCCCAGCCCTTTCCAGCAACCTTCCACCTGGATCAAATTACTCCCTCCAGCACCAGCCCCCCACTCTTCCAGATTCCTCACACAGTCCTCCTTCCTCCTAGGGGGCTTCCTCACCCTGCTCCTCTAATCCTGGGCTGGGGCCCATCCTCCATCAGCTCAGAGAATCCCTCCTTGGCTTCACCTTCAATCCCTTCTTGCTTCCCTCTCCATCCAACCCACATCCCACCCCACCCCATCCCCCATCCCCTGCACCCCTGTCCGGCTGGTTACAGATCTGGCCAGCTCGGCTCCGTTCTGTCCTCTGCCCCGTAACATCTCTGCACCCACCCGAGTCCTTTCATCTCCCCATCTCACTTCCGAGCCCCCCACCCCGTGACCTCACATGCTCCAGCCCCAGTTACCGGTCATGGTCAGCACTTCGGAAGCGAGGCAGGATCTGGCGGAAGCTGCTGGTCCGGTCAAGTTTGGGTTGCGACTTCGTCCGTTTGATGGAGCTTTTTAGCCGCCGGCTCAGGAAGCCTTGCTGGGAGGGAGATGGGGATGGGGTGGGTCGGGGCCAGGTCAGTTCTACCTACTCGCCCCTCCGTTGGTGGAGAGTCCCTGGTCGGAGGTGAGTCCGGGAAATAAGGGAGGCCGCCAGAGGCAAGGCAAGGGTTTGTGAGCCCAGCTACCAGTGTGTCTTCCTTCGCTCCCACGGGTGCGAGCGCACACACAAACACACGCACCAGCCTGGAGAAGGGGGGTGGGTGGCTGGTCGGAGAAGCAGGGGGGCAGAACCCAGAAGGGGAAAACTGAAGGGTTGGGAAGGCACACATTCTTTTCTCTCTCTCTCTCTCTCTCTCCTCCTGCCCTCCTCAGAGTCCAAGGGGGCTGGAGAGGAGGGGAACCAGCTGAGCCACATCTGGCAGGCGCCTGCACTCACTCACCGAGGGACGGAAGGGTGCAGCGGGGGCGGCCTCCATGCTGTACTGCTTCCCCCCTGGGACGCTCTTCCTCCTCGAGCGACCCAAGTGGTACTCTGGAGGGGAGGAAAGGGTCAGAGGGGAAGCTGGCGTGGAGGGGGGGAGGGGCTCACCCTTGGCCCAGCACATCCTCCCCACCTCCCTCTGCCCCAAAGCTCTGGCCTCACCTACCCCCCGGAAAACAGCAGGAAGAGCAGCGGCGGTGGAGAGGCTGGTGGCGCCGGGTAGGAGGGGGCAAGGAACCCGAGCTGGAGCCCCCCGAAGGGGAGGGGGTGGGAGGCCTTAGGCCCATGACTGGGCTGGGCAGTCAGCAGGGGGACATGGCTGGGAGGGTTAGTAAAACCCTGGTAATAAATGACCACCGATGCAGGGAGGCTAGCTCCCTGACACCCCTGCCCCCCTGCCAAGAAGGGGGTAACTGGGGGGAATGATGGGTCAAAAGTCATTGCCCACAGAGAGGCGATCCTCTATTCCCAGCGGGATACATCTTCGACCTGCTCCCCCTTCCGGGAACCCCTTTCACTCCAGAGTGCCAAGGCTGTTTCATGAGCCCTCCCGAGAATGGAGGGGGAGTCCTAAAAGGGGCTTGGGAGAGGCGGCCTTCAGGAAACCCAAGGGAAGGGCAGAGAGGAAGGGGTCAGTTCCACGTGCAACGCAGTGGCAGGCACGCCAACGGGAAGAGGAAAGGGGGAAAGAATGCCAAGGAGTGGGGGGCCTGGCAACGGGGGCTCTGGGGACCCCCAAGTGATGGTGGGGGGTGAGGAGGCTGGAAGGTGAATGCGGATGAAGCTCAGCCTGGCTGAGTCTGGAGCGGTGATAGCAGAGGCGGATTTAGAGAGGCTGAGGGGCTCCAGGAGACTGAATGTGGGGGGGCTGCCCAGCTCCGGTGCCAGCTCCAGAATGGCTGCCCAGGTCTGGGCTCCCCCTTCAGCCCCACAGTCACCACTGCAGCCAATTGGGGGGCAGGTGCTGCATCAGGGGCGGGGCCACCATCTCCACGGCAACAAGAAGCTACTGGCTTGGAGGTGGGGGGGTGGGGTTGAACGGTGGTGGACCGGAAGAGCTGCCTGTTAACCCTCTAAGTGCTGGTACAAGGGAGGGCCACAGTTTCATTTTCACAGTCGGCTACCAGAATTACAAATTGCCCTCGAATTAGCCTCTTGTAACCTACAAAGCCCAAGGGTCAGGAGATTTGCCCACAAAAGTGTGCATTTCCACAACACAGGAACCCTCATCCGTTCCCCAGGAACACGCATGTGGAGCAGAGACACAGACACTGAGCTGTGGGGGGCGCACGGGTAAGGGACAGACAATACCAACGAGCAGGAGGGAGCTCAAAATAATGAGGAGCTTGGTACTTATGGATCCCCGGACGGTACACATGGCTAATGTGTTTGGCTGCTACCCCAACCGTTGGTGCCTCAGAAGAAAGGCCTGGTGATCGGAAGGCCAAAAAAAATCAGCCTTTGAGAACGCTCTACTCCAACACACCTGGGGTCACCATGAGCTGGACAGCCCCTCCATGGCCACGGTTTAATTGACACGTGCTTAGGAGACATGCAGACAACTGTGAGTGCAACACGGGCAGAGCCGCACACCCTGCAGGATGCAGGCTTGGACATGTGTGCACACTGCAACAAGGGGCACATACTTGGACCCAGACACCCACATGAGAGCTGCCAGTGTGGACTTGTAACCCAAGTCTCCAGGCAGCACAGGATGGAAATGGACATTAACCTTGACACACACATGGGGGGGGGGGAAGCTTAAGGGGAGGGGGCACAAGACTTCAGAAAGTTTGTGGAGATATGGAATGAAAAGATAATGGACATTTTCCATGAGCTTTCTAAAGCCCCCTCCTATAGCCCCAACATCAGGAGGATGTCAGTTTAACCCCTGCAGTGCATACGGGAACACACTGTCAGCCCGACTGACACCAGAGCACCCCAGACCCCGAAAGCACAAGTATCCTCCAGTCATACCAGGAATTCCAGCACATCCACCCTGACTAGGGACAATCCTATCTACCTCCCAACACAGGTGCCACCGGAGAGTGACTGCCACCCGAGACAAGAACAAGGACAACATGTTAATTACCCTTCTGTGACACTGACTGCTGCTTCTAAGGGTCATCTCTTTCCGACTCACAGTTATCTGTACTTCTCAGGTATGGCTGCCTCCATCTCATTGCAGGGAACCTAGCTCAGCCATCATTTTCACAGGCAAGCGCCCCTGACCAAGTCTAACTTCACAGCCATTACGATTTGCTTTGGAACTAAGGTATTAACACAAGGAGCACGAGTGTGCCAAGGGTCTGCCTGGCTCAGGAACTGAGAACCATGAACTCACACATAAGTCACAGGTACACGGGGGCCACACACACATGCTTACAAAGACTCTCACTGCCGCAAGGAAAATAGCAGAAACACTGAGGAACTGGGGGGGGGGGGCAGAGTGACAGAAACACAAGACATCCTGTTATTAGCGCTGCCTGCAGAGACATGCACAAAAAATACATAGCATGCCCATGAACAGACACAGCAAACCTGATACCCATGCACTGTGATCCTGGGTCTCCACAGCCCACGCCCCCACAATGTGTACACGCATGCACACACAGAACAGCCACCTACACAGCCCCGTAACACAGGCATTATGCATACACCCACACATGTACACACCCTGTGTACACACACAATTGCACTCACACACACACATAGCAAGGGCTTCGACTCCCGCCTCTCCAACCTCTAATCTGATCATCACCCAAAGAATCTCTCTCTGCCTCCCAAACCCCACAAATCCCTAACCTTCCTTCTGGACCTTTCTTTTTCTCCACACCCACTAGCCTCTCCTCAAGGGAGCAAGGGGCAGCGGGGGCAGGCTGAGAGAGAGGGCTAAGGTACAGGATTGCACAGAGAGTTGGAATAGGGGGCAAAGCTCTGTGCTGGGGGCAGGAACTTTAAATGACAATCTCTGCCATGGTAGGGTCCACTGTGAAGCAGCCCGAGTCTGAGCGGCCTTCCATAGCCAACCAAGCTTGACCCTACAGGACCTACATGAATCCACTGCCCTCTTCAATCTTCCCTCCTTTCTTCTTGCAGAAAGAAAAGGCCTCCCCCAGGCCCCTTCTTCTACCATAATCTTTACCCAGTTCCCTACTGTAGACTTTGTTAGGCCCTCTGCTCTCCTCTAAATCCAGCCCCAGTCTGTCTCCCTGGCTCGCTCTCTCCTCTCCCTCAAGTCTTCTCCTCTCTTTCTGTCCCACTTTTCCTCTGAACCACACGCCTGCCCTTCTTGGCTTTTCTGCTCCTACCCCCGGACCAAGCAGAGGTTCACCAGCGCCTCGCCCAAGGGTACTGCATGCAAGGTAGCATTCCAAGAACACACACTCTTGCCCCCCACAACCACCACTCACACACCACCCACATCCAGACACGCCCTGGACACCCATGCTGGGATTGACACCGATCCTCGGGCCAATGGTGGTACATGCATGCAAAGACACACACCTGCCAGCAGGGACACGGAAAATCTTGCTCATGCAGCCACACATCCCCATATGCAGGAGGTGAGCCCTGGTCAAAGATATGCCTGCTCAGGGTCAGGGGTGACATGGTCCAAGCACGGCCTCGGACTGCCCCGAGCCAGTGGTCAGCTCAGCAGCCCCTAGACAGCAACCTGGCAGACAGGACATGGCAGGGCACATTTACACTCGGTTGTCTGCACATGTGTGCACGAGGAACTCGGGCTCTTGAGTGTGCACATGGCACCGACACATAGGGAACACAACCATGGATACACACACACACACACACATACACAGGCGGGCATATGGGTTGCCCCTTCCACGGGGGAGGTCCAAGACCCTCCCCACCAGCCGCCCCCGCGCGATCGAGACCCTTGCCTCCACGAGAACGACCCCCGAAACCTCCCGACCTCCACAGCCCCCCTTCGGTTACCATAACTCCCCCCACTCGGAAGATGCAGCGAGAACATGCGGAGGGAGCAGCT